GGACAGACTAGTGGAAGGGTGAAGGAATAGGAAAGATTCAACAGGGACTTGAAAAGATGTCGTAATCATAGACATAGATCAGTGGTAATAAATTGTATTAAATACAACATATATGTTGCTAGGAGAGGCTATTCCTTAGAAAGAGGCATCACCTTTGGAAAGGTGGAGGGCTGTCAAAAGAGAAGAAGACCCTTAACCAGGTGGATTGGCACAGTGACCGGCTGCAGTGGGCTCTAGTGTGTCAGGAAGTGTGCAGATGGCACAGGATAGGACAGGGTTCAGATCCGTTGTTCATGGGATCACTATGAATTCTACTTGACTTGCTGGCACCTAACTACAATAGAATGATTTATGAAACACAATACAAACAAAAGACTGTATAAAACACAATGCATATGAATGAAACATAATGTGAATGAATTATTGGATGAAAACCAATAAAAATTGCTACTGTGTACCTAGCTAGGTGGTGCACTGGATTAAACACTCAAGCACTAACCAAAAGGCTGACAGTTCAAGGTCATGCAAAGGTGCCTTGGAAGACAGAAGCCCTGTGAGCTGTTTCCTTGGTGCACAGGAAGTCACCAAGAGGAAGAACGATGTCAAGGCCAGTGGCTTTGATTTCTTCGACCTTGGGAATCACCCAAGCTGCAGAAAGAGGTTTTTCTGAATTCATAATATAAGAAACCCTTGGACTCATTGCTGTTGCATTGGGATCTCCTCCCAGCTGACTGACTCTCTGCGGTTTCTGAGAGGCTGTGGAGCACACAGGAAGACATTGCCCATCTTTTTCTTATGGAGCAGCTAGTGGATTTGAACCTCTGGACACATGGAGTCTGGCAACACAACTCCCGGTGGACCACTTCACGTTACTTACTAGAATGGACAAAGCTCCCCAGTAATTCAGAGTGTAGTGGTCTCTTCCAAGCAAGCGGTGGGAAAGCCTGATTTGACTTACGTGGAGAGTTCTGCTGAGATGATTCTTGTGGCGAGCAGCTAATGCTAGGTAAGTTCTGGCATGGTGGTATTCACACATGCCTTCAGCCACTGGACTCTAAATACTGGAAAACTGGGTAGGTTATGGCAACATTAGAAAGGGCCACTGTCTTTGCAAGAGAAAAACAATTAGCCCAACAATGCCTTATTTCTGCTGTCTGCTCTAATTATCTGTCTGTCTGAAGTTCAGCAGCCTTCGCTCGCTGATACTACACAGAGCGGTGTGGGCACGCGGGGTTCCCCTGCACGTCTCCTCGCTACAGGCTCACCTAAGGTCAAGAGAAAGGACCTTCTCTCACTAAAGAGCTCTCTGAGCGTGAGTCCCAACCCCTGCTGGCTAATGAATCTGCTGGAGCCCCAAAGGAGCTGTGAATAAATGCACTGTGCTGCTTAGCAAAAGGTTAGTGGTTCGAACCTCAGGAGAAAGTCGTATCGTTCTGCTTTTGTGCAGATTTACAGCCTTGGGAACTCTGTGGGCTGTCTTGGCCAAAACTGATGAGTATTCCTTGGACGGCCAAGAGAACAGACAAATCTGTCTTGGAAGGAAGTGCAACCAGGGTGTTCTTTAGAGTCAAGAACGGTGAAACTACATCTCGTATATTTTGGGCATGTTGTCAGAAGAGCCAGTCCTTGGGAAAAGGCAGCAAGGGTGGGAAAGCAGAGGGTCAGTGAAAGAGGAAGATCTTCAACAAGACGGACTGACACACTGACCCTGACGGGGGACTGAGCGTGGAAGAGATAGTGTAAGGTTTTGATCTGTTCACAGGGTGGCTGGGAGCTGTATTTGACTTGATGGCATCAAACAACAACAACAACAACAACAACAATAGCAACAGCTCTGTCTTACAAGCAACTAGGAGTTGGAATCAACTTGTTGGAATGGATTTCGCGAATGAGCCTTCCAAGTTCTCTTTCTAACCCTGACATACATAACGGCGTGTATGTTTACTTCCGTTGCCAAATGGACATTTATAGTTGATATGAAGGTGAGGTGTGTGGTGTCCTCTGCCGCTGAGGTCCAGTTTCCACATTTGTACGTACAGCTGACCTTCCTTGAAAACCTTGCTCGGGACTTTGAGTATTAAAGGGAGTGATGGGCTTTCTCATTGCTACTGTCACATCCAAAGCACTTCACAAAAGTGTCCGATTACCTCTAGATACAGCATGGTCACTAACCCCCATTGATCCTCTGCTAAATGACCAAAGTCTTCTCTGGTCAGTAAATATGTCTTTTTGTGACACACAGATGCGCAGAAATCAAGTTCTGGATCAACTGCAAGATAGCTGAGTGAGAGGGATTTTTTTGCTTTTCTGCCCACCCCCAAAATATTACCTTGGACTTTGCTGTATGACCAAAAGGCCACAGAAAAGCCACATAATGAATACGAAATTCAATTCACAAAAGTAATTCCTCTAGTGCTTTGACTAACAGGCCCCTACACATACACACACACACACACACACACACGATTTTTCTCTCTCAAGCACACATCCCACTGGTCACCAAGTAGAGTCTATCTGAAGGTGATTCCCATGGTGCTGAGCTTCTGCATAGGACGTCCTTGGCCATAATCTTTGTGGACGTGGATCACCAGGCCTTTACTCTGCAGTACTGCTGAATGAGTTTTAACTGCCAGTTTTTAGGCTAATTGTCACTCATTGCTAGCTGACCTTCCAGTGAGTGTTCAGGGGCTATCAATCCCATGGAAGGAGAATGCACATTTTACTGCTCAGAGCAGCCGGTGGCTTCGAACTGTCTGCCTTGGAATTAGGAATGCAACTTTGCACTGCCAACCTAAAGTAACATGGTTCAAAGCCACCCGCTGCTCCGAGAGAAAGTGGGTAATCTCCTGCGCTGTGATTTATTGCCTCTGAAAACCCACTGGAGGGTCAGCTATGAGTCAGTTCTGACTCGATGGTACTCAACAACAACTCCCCCCCACTAGGCCATCAGAGAGCTTCCTTATAGGTGCTAGATGAGCACAAATGACTTGTACCACCGCACCCCACCCCAGTGCCGCCATGTCCGTTCCCACTGAAGCAGACCCTCCATCAAGCTTCCGTGGCTGTACTTTAAAGAAGAAGACTGTTTATCTTCCTTTCACGGATTTGCTACTAGATTTGAACTTACAACCTACTGGTTAGCAGCTCAACTTACTATGGCACCAGTCATGTCATTTACTCGGCCAGCAGGGTTTCTCTGCGCCACCCTCTGAGCTCAGCTCCTCATCTCTACTGCCCCTTTAGAGGGTTTCCACCCACAGTTACTCTCCATCAGTTTTCTGAGTCTCGAAACCTTAGGAGGAGGCTGCCAATCTTTCTTCCTAGGAGCGTCTGGTGAGTTGGACCTGCAGATTTTTTGGTTAGCTGTTGTGGTGTATCAGCGAGTCAGAGCCAACCTGCAGCTGACCCTCCACTGGGTTTTGAGAGGCTGTTAACCACAGAGGAGGAGACTGCCTAGCTTTCTACCACAGAGCAGCTGGTGCATTCGAGCCATAAGCCTTTAGGTTAACAGGGCAACTCCTCACCCATAAGCTACCAGAGTTCACAATACTCACTGTGCCACCAGAACAATTTTCTTTCTTTTCTAAAAAAACCTTTTACTGTGATTTTAGTGAAAGCTGACAGAGCAAATTAGTCCTCCACTCACCAATTCATAGACATTTTGTTTCGTGGCGTTGACGGCAAACCCCACAATGGTGGATAATTTTTTTCAAAGACAAAATTTCCTAGTTCACCGAGTCACACGCCCATCTTATCGCCAAGATGAGGATAATATTGACGATGACAATGTCTGAGAAACCATCTCAAACAGCCTTTTCACTGCAAGCAATTAGCCATGCAAGGAAAATCCACTTCCTAATACAAAATCATCAGTCACAATTGAAATTCACTACAGTGGCTTCAGCCAGGAACTCTGAACTTCTCCCTCGGTTTTGCTTCCAAAGGCTTATTTGATTTTATCCTCAGGAAGTCTCAGCACTACAGAATAATGAGCAAACAGTTAAAACCGTGTATCTGACGAGCTCTGAGCTGCAGCAGAGATTTATGACCTGCCCATCCTCCTGGGGGACTATAAAACCACCCCGATGACATCTCATTTTGAAATCTCGCGTATTAAGGAAAGTGATGGGTGTGGTGAGAAAGTGAACCGGAGCTGTGAGCGGTATTTAAAACAAGGGTCTGTACTTCACAGCCCAGCCTTTAACTCACAGAAAGGCTTTCTGCCATTAGCTGGTCTCAACTTTTAACCACTGGCCTTCTCCAAAATCCCATTCCACTTTTTTTTTTTTTTGCAAAAAAGAATTGCACCGTATTCAGAACGTTTAGTGTGAATATGTATACATCCTCCCCCTGACATGTTCATTTGGGTTTTAAAAATTCCCGGGCAGCCATCGCCCCCACCGCCCTCAGCTGCGTCAGGTTCAAGTCAGCCCCAAATCACCACGTAAATAAAATCGCCCTCAAGTTACAGTCCTCCTTGGAGAGGGCCCAGCCACATTTCAAATGCCAGAAGAGGGGTGGCGGTGGCAGGGAGACGACTGTTTACTTCCTGTCCCAGGCGACCTCTTTTGACCTCTTACAAAGGACACCAAGCAGAGGAAAGGGAAAAGCGAAGGGGTTTCCAGAGAGTAACATTTCTTTCTGGAAGGTTCCCAAGTCTACTCAAACAGGAGTTGAGCGCAGCAGCATCGGGTCCAGCAGCTCTGGGGCCGCTCGGCCGGCGGGGATACCTCACCCTGGGAAACAGAAGGAGACCCCAAGACAAGGCAGTAGAGGGGGGACTGGATCCTGGCACCCAGGCAGATGAACAAATAAGGGAGACACTGGGAAGGGTTTCTTGGCTGCGAGGCGGCACAAAAACTTTTCCTTGCACTTTCCCACTCGGAGGCTGGGCAGCTGGGGCTGGTTAAGGTGGGAGCGCGCGCACGCTAGCCAAGTGCTGGGTTGAAGGAAGGGCTGGGGCAGCCAGACTGGGCGCGGGGCGCGCGGCGGGTCCTCACCTGTTCCAGCGGGCCACTTTCCTCCGGTAATACCGCAGCGCCTCCTGGCTGGCCAGAAGCGAGTCTTCGGGCCCCAGGAGAGGTGGCTCCTCCGGGGCGCGGTACAGCGGGTGGGCAAAAAGGGCCTGCAGCTTGGAGCCCGTGCCGCCGCCGCCCGGCTCCGCTCGGGGCCCAGCTTGGGAAAAGTTGAGCGCGGCCCTGCCGGGGTCCGGGGGGGCGGCGGAACGCGAGGGCGCGGCGCGGCGGGCGCACGGGCAGCGGGGCGCCTCCTCCCGAGGCCGCAGCTGGCGCTGCACTTGGGGCCAAAGGTGGAAGTAGAGGTCGGCGGAGAGCAGCGCGCCCAGCAGCAGGAGGGTCAGCAGGCGGTCCCGGCGCAGCCCGGGCATGGCCCAGCCGGGGACCTGGGAGGGCGCTGGAGTGCAGGCGGAGGACGCCCCCGGAGTCCCGCGGGCCGGGCGCACAAGGCGCGGGGAGTCTGCTCAGAGAGGTGCCGGCCCTGAACTTGGGGACTGGGTGCTGGCTGCGTCGGGGCTCGCGGCGTGGGCGGGCGCCCCTACCCCGCGCAAGGGAGCGGAGGGGCTGCGGTCCCTGGGGCGCCCGCTTCGCGCTCCCTCTCCCCGGCGCCCGCGGCAGGTGACGAGCCCCGGGGCGCGGGCGGAGACAGAGGAGGGCGCGGGGCGGTGGCGCCAGCCCCCGGGGAACGGCAGCGGCTGCAGAGCCTGGGGCGGCTCTCGGAGGATGCTGACGCCTAGGCGGCGGCGGCTCTCCTCCCGCGGCGGGGACGCCCGGCCCCCGGCTGGCAGGGCGGCAGGAGCGGGGAGTTGGCGGAGCAGGGCTCCTCCCGCTGTTGTGCGCGCAGCGCCGGGCGCCCGAGGCAGAGGTAGCGCGGGCCTCTCCCCCCTTGGCGGGGCGCCGCACCTCCGCCCACTCTCAGCTGGCACCTGCCTCTGGCGCAGCTCGCCGGCCAGCTCCCGTCCCTCTGCCGCCTTTGCCCTGTCACCTTGTCGCCCAGCCGGCTCGCACGCCCAGCCTCCGCACCCCAGGCTTCCTCTTTCCCAGCCCTGGCTCACTCAGCACAGTCACTTGGGGGACCCAAGTCAGGGAGACTCAGGGCTTGCTTTTCATTTTAATGTTTTAGAAAAAATGACACAGCTCTGGCTTAGCTTCTCTTTAAGCCCTGCTAGACCCCGTGTGTGTGTGTGTGTGTGTGTGTGTGTGTGTGTGTGTGTGTTCGCGCGCGCGCGTGCGTGTGTGCTGGGCGCATTAGTACATTCATAAAGACTTCAAGCCATGCATGTGCCTGGCATATAATAGGTGCTCAGGAATGAAAAAGCTTGACCTTTAAAAATACCCCAGTTTTACCTAGAATCTTGGAAATTTCCTGTTTGGATGGAGTTTCATCTTGACTCTGTCTGCACTATAAAAAGAAGACATTTTCCCTTCTCCGAAGGAGACAAAGCCTTCTGATGACCTGGCCTCGAACTTCCGAGTTGAGTGTGGTATGAAAATAGTCCACCTCGGTGACTCGGAAGGACGCAGAGTGTATGTACTTTATTCTGGGATTTATACCCCCTTCCGCCACCAAGGGAAGTGGCCGGTGGCCTGGTGGTAAGGAGCAGTGAGGCCAAACCAAAATCACAAGGTTTGAATCCATTAGCTGCTCTTTGGGCGAACAGTGGGCAGTCTCCTCCCTCCGTGTGATTAACTGCCTCTGAAAACTCGCTGGAGGGTCTTATACAATCATTCATAAAAATTATATTTTATATAATTAATTGCCATTGTTATTGTTGAGAGCAAGCCAAAGGTGGGTGATTTTAATCTGTGGCCCTCTGGCCTGGTTTTAATTGTTTTTTGTCAAACATTCTTCTAGGTGGGATAGCCCTGGTGTGTCCATTTGCTGTACAGAGGTAACTCGTGGTTGCTGGGATGCTGAACACTATGACACTGATGTGTCAAAATGTGATAATGGTCACCCATGGTGGACAGTATTTGGTGGAGCTTCCCAAGTAAAACAAGATTGGAAGCAGGAGTGGCATCCACTTCTGATATAGCTTGCCTCCAGAAACTATGAACATGGAGAAATGATGAAATTCATACAAATGTTTAGGTCTTTCGTTCATAGGGTCACTATGAATTGTCTACAACTCGACAGCAGTTAACAACAATTGCCATTGCTCTATGCCTGCTATTTCCCCATCTTTTCAAGGTCCCATTGGACATTTCTCAATCTTTCACAACCCCACCCTGTGCTGTCCCAGTGACTTTCCCCCTCTTCCCCTTTTTCTGCCCCACCTCTGCCCTTGCATTTTGAACATTTTAAACATTTGTACAGATCTTGCTCAGTTATCCATCTATTATCCCAATGGTGGTCTTATGCAATATTTGTCCTTATGTGACTGAGACACTTCACTCAGCATAATGCTGTGAGACTTCCTGTGGTTTTGATATCCTCTCATCTACAAATAAAAATAATAATAGAAACCAATTCTTAAGGTTATTTTGAGGCTTAAATAAGTTAAAGTATGTAAACTGCTTAGAGTGGCCCCTGCTGTTATTGGTGTTGGTTGCCACGGAGTAATCATTGACCTACGGTGACCACACACACACGCCCCAAAATTAAGCATTGTCCAGTCCTGCATCATTCTTACACTCAATGGACAATATTACTCCATTATCCATGTTGTTGTTGTTAAGTGCTGTTGAGTCGCAGGCGACTCATAGCGACCCAAAGAAGGAGAGTCCTCAATATTTGGGTGTCTTTCATCCTTTCTCCAGGTTCATAGGGTTTCCAGAGGCACGCTATTACAGAAGTGGATGCCACTCCTCCTTCCAAGCTTGTTTTAATCAGGGAGCTCCACCCCACTCTCTGTCTGCATTGGGTAACCAGCCATTAATGCATTTGACACATCAGTGTCACAGTGTTCAGCCTCACGGCAACCACAAGTGACCAACGGCAAGTGGACACACCAGGGCTATACAACCTAGAGGAATTTCTGAACCAAACCAAAGACAGGCCCAAGGGCCGCGGATTCAAACTCACCCACCTGAGGCTTGGAGCATCACTATCCGTAGTCTTACTTTTTTTTTTGAAGTAGATTATCAGTTCTTTTCTTCCTAGCCTCATTTAGGGAGCTCTGGTGACCTAGTGGTAAGGAGCTATGCTGCCACCTTGAAGGCACGGGGTTCAAATCCACCAGCTGCTCTGAGGAAGAAAGATGGATAATTCCCTGTTGTGTGATGAATTGCTTCTGAAAGCCCAATGGAGGTTCAGCTATGGGTTGGTTCCAAATCTATAGTACCCACCACTACCACCACCATCTGGTTTAGTCTAGAAGCTTCACTCAAACCTGGTCACCATGAGTGACTCTGCTGGCATTTGAAATCCCAATAGCATAGCTTCCTGCTTGCAAGCCATGACAACATGACAGCCTGAGAGACCAGTGGCGGGGAATGGCTCCATACACACGCTCCAAGTGCTAACTGTGTGCTTGCTGTAATTGAAATACCTTGTTGCTTCTTGTATGTTGCTTTAGGTGAAAGTTTTTGTGCACCGGTAGGATAAAAAGAGAAAAGTCCGGAAAAGGAAGAAACCAGAATGGGATTATCTCCAAGGGTACAGCACGGCCTGGATGTCCAGTGCCGAAAAACCCTCCAGGTGAATGCATTCCCATTGGCTCACTCACTGGGGTCTATGAGTAAACATTTTGCAGGTAGATGTCTGCAACCGTCCTTTTTATCTGGATTTGATGTTGAACTGATCTCCAATTTCTGTGAAATTTGCAGCTTCTGAGATGTCAAAGCAGGTGTGTCACGGCCATAGCTCTCAGGAATATTCAATTGTTGGGTGCTGTCCAGCTAATTTGGACTCATAGCAATGTCCCTATGACAGAGGACAGCTGCCCCATAGGTTTTCAGGGCTGTAATCTTCACAGGAACGAATCACAAGGTCTGTCTGCAGCAGCATTGTTGGATGTGTTTGAACTAACAACCTTTCCAGTAGCACCTGAGCATTTAATCATTATTCCATCAGAATTCCTCTCAATAACTATATATTGTTGTTCTGTGCTGTGGAGTTGGAACTGACTCATAGTTGACCCTCCAGTGGGTTTTTAGAGACTAAATAGTACAGGAGGAAAATGCACATCTTTCTCCTATGAAGCTGGATTTGAACAGCTTGCCTTTGAGTTAGCAGTGCAACTTCTCATCTACCAGGTCAGCAGAGCTTTTTCTAAAAGATGGTACGGAATTTTCCTCACTCCTTTCATTTTCTGGGCTGCTAAGGACATGAAGAGGAAAGCATCGCAAATCTTAGATTCTCCTCCCACATCTGGAACCTTCGTAGACTTTTTATCTGGCTGTCCTTCAGAGAGCAATAATTCCTCACTCACTTAGAGATCATCTAAACATGTTTTCCCCACTCTGTAAAGGTCAAGGGCAAAACTATGAGTCAAAGCCAGTCATTTAGAGTGAGCGAGGTTGGGGTGGGAGAGTGGAAATCCTAGAGGCGGGATTGGCCAGTGCTTGTAGCCCCAAAGCCTGCCTTCAGTTTCTCTGTCTCTCTTCTGGAAATAAGCCTTCCCATCTACGTCTCTGGCCTGACGTGTCCTGGCACCTGGCTTCCTTGCTCACCTCATCAGCGGTTGAATCGGCTCTGGCTGATGGTAACCTCGTGTGTGTCAGAGTAGAACAGGGCTCCATGAGATTCCCAGTGGCTAATTTTGAGGAAGGAGTTCACCAGGCCTTTCTTCCAAGGTGCCCTGGGTGGACGAGAACTCTTAGTCTTTTGGTTGGCAGCCAAGTGAGTTAACTACACAACCCTCAACTTGACCCCTCGAACTCATCTATCTGAAACCTCTTGCCATCAGTTGGTTAGATTCAGAGACCCTGCAGGACAGAGAAGAACAGCAATAAGGAGTTTCCCAGGCTCAGCGGGGGAGAGGTGGGCAGCCTCCTCTCATTAAGATTTTGTCATTGTTGTTATGTGCTGTTTAGTTGAAACTGACTCATAGCTGACTCTCCAGCAGGTTTTCGAAGGCAGTAAATCCCATGGGAGGGACTGCTCATTTTTTTTTCTCAAGGAGAAGCTGGTAGATTTGAACCACATGCTGCTGGACTGGCAGCACAACTTCTTACCACTAAGCTACCAACCTTGGAAGCAAGGTCACTATGAGTTGGAACATATAAGAAGCTTAACTACAGGTGACACGAAATTGTACCATTTGGAACTTTCAGGAGACACTTTTATTGCACTTCGGATGTGTTATCAGGGGAAGGACACCATGCTTTAAAATGCTGCAATTCTGGGCTTAAACAGAGGAGGAGGAGGGCTCAGGCTTCGCCAGTGTTTTCTTGTGTCGTTTACAGAGGTCAGGAGGAGTCAACAGAC